TGATGTCACTTCTGACATCATTGCTCACTATGTGTGAAATCTGTGAATGATCACAGAGGTCACATGGTACAGGGCTATTCACAACAGCCTTGTACCATGTGACAAGCTGTGACCAATCACAGCTCTCACAGTAGTTCTCAAGAATGCAGCCAGAGAGAAGGAGAAATTATTGATTTTACAGCCTTTATGGGTGTAAAAGCAATCAGTGTAAAAAAAAAAAACTTCATCACCCCCCACAAGTAGTACAGTGTCACCATGGTGACACTGTACTGCTAGGGTGACAGTATATATATATAAAAAAAAAATAAAAATGTAAAAACATTTTTGAAAAATTATACATTTTGGTTATAAACTAATTTGGGTTATTTTCTTTTTTTACTAAAAAGATAACTGAATAAATTTTGGCCAAGATGTATGATGAAATATTATTTATTTGCAAAATCTTTATAAGAAAAACACTTTTTTTCAAAGTTTTTGGACTTTTTCATTTACATAGCAAGAAAAAATAAAAATCCCAGTGGTGAATAAATACCACCAAAATAAAGCTTTAACTGTCTCAAAAAAATGCTAAAAAATTAATATTGGTACAATGCTGCCTGACCGCGCAATTGTCATTCAAAGTGTGATAGCGCTGAAAGCTGAAAATTGGCCTGGGCAGGAATGGGGGGAAAAAGCGTCCAGACTTGACGTGGTTAAAGAAGGGGGGAAAAAAGTGACATAAATCAAAAATAAAGAAAGTGATGAGTAAATGGCATAAAATATGCCAGAAAAAGTGCCGTGACCAGAAGACTCACAACTGGCGTGAATAATATCTAAAGAAATATACAGTGAGACTGTCAGGATGAAAACCCGACTCAAAACAAAATATTCGGACCAGGCAAAGTCCTTCCACATAAATGCGATAAGTGACCTAAATGAACAATATATAACTCATGTGATCAAATCCCTAATTGGGATTTATTTGTGTAAACAAAAACACATAAAAAGTGCCACAACGATATTATTATTATTATTATTATTATTATACAGGATTTATTTATATTATTATACAGGATTTATTATTTATTATTATTATTATACAGGATTTATGGCGCCAAGTTTGCTCAGCGCTTTACAATATAACGGGAGACAATACAGGAACAATACAGTTCAATACAAGAGGGATAGGAGGGCCCTGATCCTGGGAGCTTACAATCTAGGAATATCACAATGTGCTGCAAAATAATAAAAAACCCCTACTAGCCACATATCCGGGTTATCTTTTTGTAATATTAAAATTTGTTTGATGATCTGAATAATTTCAGTGTCACAAATATGCAAAAAAAAAAAAAAAAAATATATATATATATAAATCAGGAAGGGGGAAATAGTTTTTTCACTGCACAATATGTATGGCTGACTTTGACCGCTGTGACTTCCTCATCGGATTTTGCAGCATTTGCTACTTCTGCAAAGATAACACAAATTTCAGACGTGACTATCCAGCCTCAGAGTTGGGAAAAAACCCTCTTTTTGCTTTAGGTGACCCCACTGGGTCAGTCATGCCATTAAAGAACACTAATAATTATATACATAACCTCCTAGATTGTAAGCTCCGAGGATCAGGGCCCTCCTAACCCTCTTGTATTGTTGCTGTATTGTCTCTCATTATATTGTAAAGTGCTGAGCAAACTGTTGGCGCGATACACATCCTGTATTCTAATAATAATAATAATATACACAGAAATGATTGCATGCATTTATTCCTCTGGCTGGGTGCGGTATTTCACAGCGGTCAATGGAGGAATTCACATATATTTATGATGAGTAACAAACAGATTTATTAGTGTGTTTGGTTGCATTATATCTTCAGAATGAAAACAGAACTTGGGTTTGTAGCGGAGTACACTTTACACTTGTAAATGTCCAAATATATTTCACGCCCTGCAGACTCAGGAGGAGATCCCAGCTCCGGTCCTATGCTCATGACATATGTGTGTTGCTGCAGTGCGGTGGGGAAATTTTTACCTAATGAGTTCCATTGGTTTAACCCAGGGGGTCTCCAAACTTTCTAAGCAAAGGGCCAGTTTACTGTCTTTCAGACTTTAGAGGGGCCAGTGTGTGGCCAGTGGGAAAAGAAAATGTTCTGGCTTCCTGGGAGTAAATAGTTCATCTTTGGAATTAGGGAGAGGAATAGTGCCCCATCATTGGTGTCAGTGGGAGGAATAGTGCCCTATCATTGGTATCAGTGGGAGGAATAGTGCCCCGTCATTGTGTGTCAGTCGGAGGAATAGTGCCCCATCATTTGTATTAGTAGGAGGAGGAATAGTGTCATTGGAAGGGGAGGAATGCCCCACTGTTGGTGTCAGTGGGAGGAATAGTGCCCTATCATTGGTATTAGTGGGAGAATAGTGCCCTAATCAGTGCCCCCCGTCATTGGTGTCAGTCGGGATGAATAGTGCCCCATCATCATTGGTGTCAGTGGGTGGAATAGTGCCCCATCATTGGTGTCAGTATCAGTGCCCCATCATTGGTGTCAGGATGATAGTGCCCCATTATTGGTGTCAGTGGGAGGAATAGTGCCCCATCATTGGTATCAGTGGGAGGAATAGTGCCCCATTATTGTGTCAGTGGGAGGAATAGTGCCCCATCATTGGTGTCAGTCGGAGGAATAGTGCCCCGTCATTGGTGTCAGTCGGAGGAATAGTGCCCCATCGTTTGTATTAGTAGGAGGAATAGTGTCATTGGAAGGAAAAATGCCCCACTGTTGGTGTCAGTGGGAGGAATAGTGCCCTATCATTGGTATTAGTGGGAGGAATAGTGCCCTATCATTATTGGTGTCAGTGGGAGGAATAGTGCCCCATCATTGGTGTCAGTGGGAGGAATAGTGCCCCATCATTGGTGTCAGTGGGAGGAATAGTGCCCCATCATTGGTGTCAGTGGGAGGAATAGTGCCCCATCATTGGTATCAGTGGGAGGAATAGTGCCCCATCATTGGCATCAGTGGGAGGAATAGTTGCTCATCATTGGTGTCAGTAGGAGGAATAGTGCCCCATCATTGGTATCAGTGGGAGGAATAGTTGCTCATCGTTGGTGTCAGTAGGAGGAATAGTGCCCCATCATTAGTGCTGGTGGGATGAATAGTGTCCCATTATTGGTGTCAGTGGGAGGAATAGAAAATGAAAATTCGTGCAGCCGCACCACCCGCACAGAGAAATGCAGACCCAGGGCGGGTGCCATTAGTTCTAATGGCACGCCGGCCGCACTGGAAAACGCAACCGTACTGGGAACCTCAGCTGCGTTTTCCAAAGAAATGCAGGGACTTCTTCCCTGCGTGTCATGGGCACGGGAGTCCATTCAAATGAATGGGCTGTCGTGCCCTTGCAAAACGTGGCCCGCGCGGCCGCATAGATGTGAACCGGGGGTAAGACCGCGTTACACACATATTTAGGGTCTAACATGGTGATGGTGCCAGATGGCCCCCATTACAATCCCCAAAATTGCCCACCCTCTAATAGCCTGCAGTGGTCCTTCTCCCCCACAGCAGATGGGACAGGGTCAAGGGAGCAAGTGGTGAGGCAGGCTTCTGAGAAGACCTTAGTGACCTCCTCAGTGGTAGCAAGGCTGAAGCAGCGGAGTCTTGGGGAGGTTATAGTGTGCAGGATGTTAGGTGTGGTGGGGGGCAGGGCGGTTGCGAGGTCAGAGGAGGGGAGAGTTGATGGGGTAATGGTGGGAGGGAGGCTAGGTGGAGAGGTGGATTGTGAATTGGCAATGTCCTTACGGATTGCGTCAATCTTGTTTTGGAAGTGATTGACAATCTCATGGGCGGTGAGTGAGGTACTGGGTGGGGGTGGGGGTGGAGAGAGTAGGGAGTTGAAAGTGGAGAAGAGCCGGCGAGGACAAGAGGAGAGGGTGTTATTGAGGGTTACGAAGTAGGCTTGCTCGGCAGCGTGGAGGGAGGAGGAGTAGTTGAGGAAGGGGGATTTGTAGAGGATTTGGAGAGGGAGAACACTCGAGCGGATCTGGTTTTGCGCCATAATCGCTTCAGCGCACGACTGTGTGGTCGTTCTACCAGGGTTGAAGCGGTCGGGGTCCAATGCTACGTGTGGTCAGGGGTGCTAAGGAGTCTAGGGCAGCTGACAGCGAGTCGTTATACGCAGTAGTGGTCAGGGCAGGACAGTGGAAGGATACTGTCGTACAGACGGTCAGCTGCAGAGTGGAGAGGGGCCGGGTTCAGGTTGCGGAGGTTACGGCTGGTGATTGTTTGATGTTTTTTGGGGGGGGGGGGGTTAGAGGATGGGGAGACGGAGAATGTAATGAGGTTGTGGTCAGAGAGAGGGAAGGGGGTGTTAGTGAAGTTGTGAAGGGTGCAGAGATGAGAGAAAACAAGGTCCAGGGTGTTCCCGTCGGAGTGGGTGGAGGACTGTGTGCATTGTGTGAGTGCGATGGAAGAGGTTAAGTGGAGGAGTTGGGAAGTAGCCGGGTTATTGACATTGACAGGGATATTGAAGTCGCCAAGGATGAGGGTGGGAGGAGAGCTCAGAGGAGAGGAAGAAGGGTAGCCAGGCGGAAAAGTCATCGAGGAAGCTGGATATGGATCCAGGAGGCCGATAGATCACATCAAACTTCCTTTATTTAACGATTAATAATCCCACTCTGCAGAGCTTCTGGAACACATCTAAGCGATGCTCTATGTCGGTGCTAACCAATCAGAATGCTCTGATCTGTCCTGGAAGCCCTGCAGAAAGATGAAAGAGAGAAACCGGCATTTCAAATCCTTGAACTGCTGCACCGGCTGCATGGGCACTGACAGTTCATCACCGATGAGGGTCAGTAGGTAAATACAGCAGGGATCAGAGTAGGTGGGGGGATTGTACCGTGTTTACCTTTTCAGGAACTTACACTTTAAAAATGAGTACATTAATGTTTATCCTGACATAGTGTGAATCAGGATTCAATGGATTGCTATTTGTCTCCATTGTAGTAATTTATATGTAATTTGTGTGTTTTGTGTTTTCTAGCTGATGAGTAAAGACATTGTGGACTCTCCATTGGTGGAGCTAGAAGGAGATCTGGAGCAGCAGGTACGTCTCCCTCTATAACAGCCAGTCTCGGTGTATACCCGGATAGGCTGGACTTTTGAATAGATAGACAAATGGACATCTATGGTTAAAGCGGACTTTCACCCAAGAGTGGAAGCTCCGCATGTTTGCCTCCTTTCCCCCCTCCATTGCCATATTTGGCACCTTTTGGGGGGGGGAGCAGATACCTGGTTTTGACAGGAACCTGCTCCCACTTCCGGCTCAGTTCGCCGCGGCGAAGTAAGCCGGAAGTTCGGCCCCCCTCCTTCCCCCCCTCCTTCTTCTGAGAACCTTCGCAGGTCCTAGAAGACTGCCGGACCAATCAGGATGCGCAGCGTGATTCCCGCATGCGCAGCGGGCACCCGACTGTGAAGCCGCAAGCTGTCACAGCCTGGTGCCCGCAGTTGAGATGCCGACACCGGGAGAGTGAAGAAAGAGAGACAGGTCGGCAGGGGTGAGTACATTGATGGACACCGGGACAGGTAAGTGTGTGTTTATTAATTAATTTTTAATTTATTTATTTTATTTAATATTTTATTAATTTTTCGATTACCATTTCATACATACAAAAGCTAATATAACAGGCATATCGTATAAATATTCTCAATTTCATATGTCCTAAAAACATTGCCATTCATCTATTAATTTTTTTACCCCTCCCCCTCTCCCCTCCCACCCTATTTCCCAAAACTCCCCATCCCCACCCCTCTCGGCCCTAATTATGCATTTACCAACTCTTTTAATAATTCCTATTCCGAACTTGATATTACTTTAATAATACAGTTTATTAATTCATTTATTACAGGTTTTGTAGCTGATGACTTTTAATAAACATAAAAACTAAAGGCTAAACTTTTTTTTTTAGTTTTGGATAGAGACGGATTAGAACCCCTATTAGGTTTTATTGCTGTCTGTGGCCCCGTCAGGGAGATTCACCCTCTTTGTTTGTCCTGTTTACCATTATCATTGAAAGTGAAAATAAAGAAAATCCCAAATTTTGAGTTGTCCCCAGAAAAGTAATAGAGGGGAAATCTTCCAATGGGGACACTAGTTCTGGCGACCTGGGGAGCCCCAAAGAATTTCCTTCATTTGCAGAGATTGGGAACTCTCCATGGTGGGACACAGTCTGACAGAGGTTATAAACCCTCCCTTACTCCATCCAAAAAAAAAAAAAAAAAAAAAAAAAAACGCTTTAATGTGTTTATAGCCACGGCCTATAATTATGTGTCATTGACCAGACAGGATATCTCTATTACGGCACATTCACACCAGGTGAGGTAGGACTGCATTGGGCGGCTATTGCAGCTCAGTCCTACTGCAAGACAAGGCAAAATGCCTTGCCTCCTTCCTGGTTGGTTCACACCACCGAGGACACTGAAGTGAACTGAAGTTCATTTGAAAAAAAAAAGTAAACAGTGCAATGTGCCGCAATCAGTGTATCAGCACTGCTGTCACCAGGGGCAGACTGACCATTTGGAAACTCAAGCACTGCCCGAGGGCCCGGGGTCAGTAGGGGGCCCCATGAGATGCCCCTGGTACCTTTTTCATAGGCTTTTTTGAGTTTGGGCAAGGACACAGGGGCCCCATGATCCCCCTATTACCCGGGGGCCCCATGAGTTGTCAGTCCACCCCCTGGCTGTCACCCTAACACGCACCAGCCCTTATGCTGGGAAAACACATAATAGTATCAATATTGAATATGATGATCGTTTCAGTGAAAGAATCTGTTCTTCCAAAAATTGCACTAACTAGAGGAGTTCGATCAATAAATGGTTGTGCTAATTGAAACGGAAGACCAGCTCCTTGCTGAAAAATTAAGTTTTATGTATTCAAACCAGCATTCATTTTTTGCTGCTGATTATCACTGCCCAGGGTCTATCGTTTTGTTCTATCATTGGTGAGTTCCCAATTTATATTATACCTGATTGCAGTTCTTTAGCTGCAGTACTCGCCTTAAGGTCCCTTTCACACGGATGTTCCGATCGGGTCCGCCTTGCTGTTTTTCAGGCAGACCCGATCAGAACCTCTACTCTCCTCTGTGGAGCGGCGGGTGTAAACGGACATGTATATTGTTTGTAAATAGATTCTTCAGATTTTTTTAACATATAAAAAAGTCATTTTAAACATATATTTTTACATATATTTGTAAACGCATTCCAAAAATGTAGATTTGTATTTTTAAAGACATACAGTATATTTGAATTGTATTTTTGAAAATATTTTTCATATATTGTGTCATAAACGCATTTACACATGCAGAGTATATACAGTGGGGCAAAAAAGTATTTAGTCAGCCACCAATTGTGCAAGTTCTCCCACTTAAAAAGATGAGAGAGGCCTGTAATTGGCATCATAGGTAGACCTCAACTATGAGAGACAAAATGAGAAAACAAATCCAGACAATCACATTGGCTGATCTGGAAAGAATTTATTTGCAAATTATGGTGGAAAATATTTAGTATTTGGTAGTATTTAGTATTTGGTGACCTACAAACAAGCAAGATTTCTGGCTCTCACAGACCTGTACCTTCTTCTTTAAGAGGCTCCTCTGTCCTGCACTCATTACCTGTATCAATGGCACCTGTTTGAACTTGTTATCAGTATAAAAGACACCTGTCCACAACCTCAAACAGTCACACTCCAAACTCCACTATGGTAAAGACTAAAGAGCTGTCAAAGGACACCAGAAACAAAATTGTAGACCTGCACCAGGCTGGGAAAACTGAATCTGCAATAGGCAAGCAGCTTGGTGTGAACAAATCAACTGTGGGAGCAATAATTAGAAAATGGAAGACATACAAGACCACTGATAATCTCCCTCGATCTGGGGCTCCACGCAAGATCTCACCCCGTGGGGTCAAAATGATCACAAGAACGGTGAGCAAAAATCCCAGGACCACACGGGGGGACCTAGTGAATGACCCGCAGAGATCTGGGACCAACGTAACAAAGGCTACCATCAGTAACACACTACGCCGCCAGGGACTCAGATCCTGCAGTGCCAGACGTGTCCCCCTGCTTAAGCCAGTACATGTCCGGGCCCGTCTGAAGTTTGCTAGAGAGCATTTGGATGATCCAGAAGAGGATTGGGAGAATGCCATATTTTCAGATGAAACCAAAATAGAACTGTTTGGTAGAAACACAACTCGTCGTGTTTGGAGGAGAGAGAATGCTGAGTTGCATCCAAAGAACACCATACCTACTGTGAAGCATGGGGGTGGCAACATCATGCTTTGGGGCTGTTTCTCCACAAAGGGACCAGGACGACTGATCCATGTACAGGACAGAATGAATGGAGCCATGTTTTGTGAGATTTTGAGTGCAAACCTCCTTCCATCAGCAAGGGCATTGAAGATGAAACACGGCTGGGTCCTCCAACATGACAATGATCCCAAACATACCGCCCGGGCAACGAAGGAGTGGCTTCGTAAGAAGCATTTCAAGGTCCTGGAGTGGCCTAGCCAGTCTCCAGATCTCAACCCCATAGAAAACCTTTGGAGGGAGTTGAAAGTCCGTGTTGCCCAGCGACAGCCCCAAAACATCACTGATCTAGAGGAGATCTGCATGGAGGATGGGCCAACATACCAGCAACAGTGTGTGCCAACCTTGTGAAGACTTACAGGAAACGTTTGACCTCTGTCATTGCCAACAAAGGATATATAACAAAGTATTGAGATGAACTTTTGATATTGACCAAATACTTATTTTCCACCATAATTTGCATATATATATATATATATATATATATATATGTATATTTATTGAAATATATTTTGGAATATATTGAATATGACCAAAATTGTAGCATTTCAAATATATGGCAATATATTTGGGAAGAATATTTTTAAAATATATTTCAAATATATTTTTCTTCTATGGGTTGGGCCCATTGTCAGACCCTACGCTGGTGCAGTGGGTCCTGGGTTCCTCCTGGTGCAGTGGGTCCCGGGTTCCTCCTGGTGCACTACAATGCTCGGCCTCATGTGGTGAGAGTATGTAGGCAGTTCCTACAGGATGAAGGAATTGATACCATTGAATGGCCCCCACGCTCACCTGACCTAAACCCAATAGAAAACCTCTGGGATATCATGTTTTGGTCCATCCGACGCCGCCAGGTTGCCCCTCAGACTGTCCAGGAGCTCAGTGATGCCCTGGTCCAGATCTGGGAGGAAATCCCCCAGGACACCATCCGTGGTCTCATTAGGAGCCTCCCCCGATGTTGTCAGGCATGCATACAAGCACGTGGGGGCCATACAAACTACTGAGGACCATTCTGAGTTGCTGCAATGAAATTTCAGCAGAATGGACTCGCCTGCTGCATCATTTTCTCACTTTGATTTTCGGGGTGTTTTTGAATTCAGTCCTCTGTAGGTCGACCATTTTCATTTCCATCAAACGATGGGTCGTCCTTACATTCCTCACACATTACCCCATCCAAGTCAGTATAGAGATCCAGCAGGAGAGTTTTCCCCATTGAGATCTGATGGGTTTTCAAAGTGTTCCTTTAATTTTTTTGAGTAGAGTGTGTATATATATATACAGTCAGGTCCATAAATATTGGGACATTGACACAATTCTAACATTTTTGGCTATATACACCACCACAATGGATTTGAAATGAAATGAACAGGATGTGATTTAACTGCAGACTGTCAGCTTTAATTTGAGGGTATTTACATCCAAATCAGGTGAACGGTGTAGGAATTACAACAGTTTTCATATGTGCCTCCCACTTGTCAAGGGACCAAAAGTAATGGGACAGAATAATAATCATAAATCCAAACTTTCACTTTTTAATACTTGGTTGCAAATCCTTTGCAGTCAATTACAGCCTGAAGTCTGGAACACATAGACATCACCAGACGCTGGGTTTCATCCCTGGTGATGCTCTGCCAGGCCTCTACTGCAACTGTCTTCAGTTCCTGCTTGTTCTTGGGGCATTTTCCCTTCAGTTTTGTCTTCAGCAAGTGAAATCCATGCTCAATCGGATTCAGGTCAGGTGA